CATGCAAGCGTCTGAGTGTGCATGTGGTACGTTGTATTACCAGCCTGAACTTGCTAGCTAGTGCTTCTACAGGATGTTGATAACATTACGCTTTGCAGTGGATCTGTTGGGAGGATGTCTTTCTATGAAAAGAATTTTGGCTGTATTCTTTAACTACAGATGCTGAACCACTGAGCAAGTTATTTGACAATTGTTATTCTTGTCTTTTTTTCTGAAGACTGGGTGTATTTGCTATGTTATTTCAGCTTTGCAGTACTTCTGCAATGGACAGATCTATTGCTATTTGCAAACTGCTTCACTTTAGTGAGTTCCACTTCTCCAGCTCGGGTTCAAGGCAGCTTCAGTGACTCTGCCCGAGTATCACAGCTGCAATAATAACGTATTTGCCTTGTCAGTTCCTTTTTAGGGGGACCTTATGACTTTTAGGGACAGTCTGTGGAGTATTAAGTGTAATAACACTTAGTGCTTTCAAATTTTTAGCAGATAGTTTTGATGGAAATCATAAATATAATTGCCTTTTTGGAGAAAACCCTCATTTGAGTTTATCTTAATAGAAAAAAAAAAAGAAATCAGTAGGTCAACATGGAATCTTCCCTTCACATAGATAATTTATCTTTGAAAGCCTTACAGGCACTGATATTTTTCTAAAAGGGCAGATGACACTAATCCAGATGGACAGTTCTGCCACCATAAATTCAGAAAAGACAGTTAAGGCTGCAGGCCTTCCTTGTTTCTCCTGAAGAAAAAATGTCCGTGGAGAATCAGACATCTGTCTAAATGGTCTCATCATTTCATAGCCATCAGTTAGATTATGCTTACCATAAATGCTATCTCCAGTTTAGAGAAAAGTTAAAGCATAGTTAAGCAAAACTAGGCATGATTTTTTGTTTGTTTTTTTTTTTATAAGCAGTTGCAGTGATGCTGAGTAATGTACATTAAAAATTAGTCAAGATGATGTTCAGAACTTAAATGCTACCCCAAAATTCTGTTTTTCTTGGCTTTTGCCCCCATTTTATCCACCTACTGTGAAATACATTGTGTCAGAGATGAGTCTGGATGCTTGTTATCTCCAGTGCGCTCTCTGTAGAAAATTCTCACTCTAAACTGTGTTAACTGTGAAATGCTATTTTGTAGATTATTATTGTTGTTGTTGTTATCGTTATTATTTTGGATCTGGATTTCTCCATTTCCCTATTGCATTCAGTTGTAGAAGTCATAGTGCTGATAGTGCATAACTCAAATTACAGATTCTAGTCAGATAAATATTTCAATAAGCAATGTAAGAGACCATGATTTGACATGTCCAGTAGGGATTTTGTATTTAGCTGCATTGCAAAGGATCAGAATGCTTTAATTCTAAGTATAAAAATTACTCTTTTTCTCTAAAATTAGGGATCTGTAATACCTTATGTTCTCGATAATTTTAATTCTCTGACCTTTGCAAGATTTCTCTCTCTGTCCTTGAGATTTGGTCCATTACAATTTCTGAAAGCATTAGGGGACATCATCAGCTCAGGATCAGCTTGATTTCTGTCACATAGAAACAACGTGAGGAAATAGCCATTTTGAAAATAGGGATCGTAGTAAGGTACAATTAGGTTCATCTCTACTGAGAATAGGAGATGACAGCTGTTTTGAGAGCAGTAATGTGACTGCAGCTTCCTGATTACTCTGCCCTCAACTGCAGGGTGGATTCCAATCTTCCTATACGTATTTTCAGTAGCGTAAGCAATTCAGTTTCAATTATTGGTGTATTTATTAGATTTTTCAAAAAAAGGCATTGTGGTATCTAGATAAAAGACTATATATTCACTTTCTCTTACAGTCTCTTTCCTCCTCTCTTTCTATATATCATCAAATAATTACCTTGCTCCCAGCTAGAAAATTTTGGGTCAGTCAGCTACTGAACCTTTCCTTTAATTCCTCTGAAGAGTGTCTCCGTAAATTTTTCTCTCTGTCTTAGTTGTATTAAGCACTGTGCTTACTATACTGAGGTGAATGTCCAAATTACAAACTTAATAACTGAACTACTATTTGATCTCAAAAATAATTTGCTTCAGAAATAGAGTTAGGTACAGGATATTTTCTCTTATGGTATATAGTGGGGAGTTAATAAAGTCTTTCAGTATGTGAAGGGAATGGTGGGCGTGCCATGTCCATGGACCATCTAAAAGTGTCTACCCTGCCTCTGAAAGCTCAGTTTTCAGCAGCCTTCATCCTAAGCAGGACTATTTCTGGGCTGGCAGTTGCTTTTGGTTCAAGGACAGCCAGGCCTGTATTCTGCTTCTTCTCTGTAGGAATGTGCCGTGTCGTGGTTTGGCCCTCTGCCATCCATCCACCCCCAGATATTGTCTCCAGGCAAAACTCCTTCTGAATGTAAAACTTCATCCACCTATATACTGGGCATTTTAGCTGTTTAATACACCCATCATTACTCGGCAGAGGGGGGACAATCTATGATCAGACATTGTGTCCCCCTCCATTTTATCAAACCATCACTTATATCTGCCACTATATTTGCCAATTGTAGGAGCAGTACATAACACGCTAAGAGATTTTTTTTTTTCTATAACGATAGAATGCCATATGCACCTCCTTGGTGTCATCTGCCAGACAAGTTTTATTTGACCATTTTTGTGGGAACAAACCAACCATCTTGTATTTTATGCCTTTATATTCTATGATGGCTACTTAGTTTTCTTAGACTGCCGTGCTTTTGCTTCCCTCTGAGAGGTCTCCAAGAACTTTCCTGACACCCTTTCATGACTGAGTGGCTGCAGATCCCCCATATCTCTCTTCATCAATTAAAATTCTGCAAGGCACTAGAAGTAGGTATTCTTGGGTACCAGCAGATACAGTATGATGTTTAATTCCTCTTTTGCTGGAAGAATATAGGTTTTGCAGTTCTGAATCTGCACGCAAACACAGCTGAATCTTCTGTGGTAGCTCATGTGCTCTT